GTCTCTGTAAGAGACTGTTTTAAAACAGAAAATGTTTTTTTTTTAAAAGCTAAAGTAACAATAATACAAAAGATGCAAAACACAGATAACTACTTAGAGTAAGTGTTCATGGGAAAGCATGAAACAGAAATCCAGAATATAAACACTCTATTGGACATTTGAGCACTAGAAGTGACCAATGTTAGGACAGATGTCAGAACCAGGAGACACAAGTGAACATATCCTCAGGGATACCTTAAAAACATCAAGCAAATATGGAAAATATTTAGCACCTGCTAGATTAAGCGGGGAAGACTAAACTAAGATGAATTGAAATAGGAAAGAATCTGACAGCAACACAAACGGCATAAAATCCCTACTTATAGAAACAGCAGAAAATGTTCCAAACACAGGGAAAGAATATATACAGAATAATATACAGATAGGGGAGACATATAAAACACCCAATAATTACTGTCAGAAAAGAAAATCCTTACAACATTGTCAAAACTCAGAAATTCAATACAGGGACTGAATATTAAAAGTCATTAAAGAAAAACAAAAAACACAATTATAAACTTACTATAATTACAGGAAATTTCTCAACATAAACATTAAAAAAAAAAAAAAAACAAAAAAAAAAAACAGGAGAGCTTAGAGTGAAGTGTTTCTAACCCTAAAAGCAAACAACTTTCAACCCAGATTTCTGTATTTTCCAAAACTACTTTTTGAAATCGGTGAAGAAATAAGGTATTTCCATGACAAAGAGTATGTTAAGAAATTTATAACAGGACTAGTACTGCAAAACATTCTCAAGGATATCTTCTTAAAGACAATAAAACCAATAACGCCAGGCATCTAAAGAACTGAAATTCACCCAAGAGCATTATTATGCACTAAAACTAAAAATCAATGGCAAAAAGTCATTAAATTATGCCAACACATGGAAATTAAATAATACATGTTTGGATAATCAATGTCTCACAGAATAAATCAAGAAGAAAATTAGACAGTTGTTAGACTCAAATGATAATACCACGTGCTAGAACCAGGGGGACACAATGAAAGCAGTCCTAAGAGAGAATGTTCACATCGGAAAAACAGTGAGTCCAAGAAATAACCTAAAAATGAATCGCAAAGGCCTAAAAAAGCAGAAACTATCCCAATCCAAAGCTAGCTGGAGGAAGGAAATTATAAAAATGAGAGCAGATATTAGTGAAAATACAAAAATTAAAAACCAATTAACCAAATAGTTTGTATAAATAAAATAAAGAGCAAAACAAACAATAGAATATTAGAAATTAAGAGATAGATTATTTGAAAAAGAGAAGGACAAGAAATGGAGGGGAAAAGCAGGGGAAAGGTGTAAAAACATACTGAGATGTGTTATGTGCATGTGCTAACTCCCCATAATGAATGAAATCATAATGTACCACAAATACATATTAACAAAAAATTAAACTTCTTTTTCCTTAAATGGTGGGTATTAGATAATTCATACCAGCAATGGGGATGATGACAAATAAAAAAGATATATGTGATATATAGAGAGTATATTTAGCATATGCATATATTTAATATTACAATGCTTGCTCTTGTTCTTTTTTGATATTTAAATTTAAAATCATGAAACAATGTTTTCTAGCTAAGACAACAAGCCATCCGGTAACATCAGCTGGCTGCCTTTCTAGGTCCTGCTCTCCAGTCTCATTTTGTAACCAGTAACTCTTTGTGTCAGTTGCTTAGAAGAAACTGTCAAGCTTCATCTTGTTTTTATTTTTGTACTTTCATTGTTTTGCTTTCTTATTTTATTGATGCTTTCCCCAGTAGTAGCTGACCTTTGGGAGAACAGTCATGTGCCTTTTCACTGATTGTCTGGGAATGAGTACAGTGCTTGACACTCAGAGGAAACTCAACCAGTATTTCCTTCGGGAGAATTAGGATACAGGCATATTTTTTTTTTTTTTTTTAGTTTTGATTTGTCTGTATGCATTCAATTTGTGATTTCTATTACCAGGTGTGTGTGTGTGTGTGTGTGTGTGTACCAAAGCAGGATTGCTAGTATAAAACGAAATATGGAAGAGGGTGGAAGAGAAACAATAATTCCTTCAAAGAATCTCTGTTGTCAACATAACAACTACCAAATTTCTACATTATGTCTCCCCAAAATGCTAAGTATATTTTTATCTTCCTCAATTTTAATATATTCTTACTGAGCATATGCTCTTTTAAACTTTATGTAAATTTAAAGTAGGAGTATATAATATAGAATTTATCACCCTGAGCTGCAAATCCTCAGTATATTCAAAAGAGTTAGCCTAGCTTGTTTTTCAAGTGGAACCATAGTACAAAGCTACAGGCTAACATAACCTAATTAACACAGATTGGTTTTCAGATACTTTAAATGTCAAGAACCGGAAAACACCTGCACCACTATGCAGAGATGATTAAGAAAAAAGTTGTGCATGAATTAGAAAGTTGAATTCCTGTGCAAACTGACAGTAGTTGCTCAGACAGAAGCTGTGTATTCCGAACTATGCCAAGGTCCAGTGATCATGAAATACTTTACTGTAAGAGAAAATGCAGATTTGAAAACATATTTTTGACTACTTATCTTTCTTATTTGGTAGATGAATTCTCTTTGTTTGGAGCATATCTTATAAACATTAAGACTGCTCAATTTTACCTGAGAGAATGAAAGAAATCCTTTTCCTGTAGCAAATATCATGTTAACTATCTTGTCCTTCTTTCTAGAACTATTATGGTAAGTATGTTTAAGCAAAAATGTTTGATGATAAATATTTCCTAATAAGGTCATGTTTGGTCATAATTTGACATTTATGTAGCGAATCATCCTTTCAATATGCATTGATACTTCCTTTACAGTTAATGTATTTGAATCAATGATGAGAAGAAAAACCTAAGACTCTTTGGAACAATGTTATAACTTCTTGCAATCCATAACCATCATTCTGTCATATGATATCCTTTATTTTAGAAGTGTGGCATATAATGGACATGTTTTCTTTTTAAAGAGGTTGCTTCCCGTGCAAACAGAGAATCTGCACTTCAACAAAATTATCTTGATCATCTTCCTCCAAACCGTCTTCGGAACAATAAGATTTCCCTTTGAGGATGGATTTTACATGAGATTAAAAAATCAAAAGACATTGTACTCAGTTTCCTCTTTTTTTTTCAGAGTTGTGCAGCAATTAAAATTGTTTTTTGACCTTCTAAAAGACTTTCTAAATTATTTATAATAAGAAACATAGAAATTAACATGAAAGAAAGGCTAAAGCACTAAACCTCACATGATACATTTATAAATTTGGTGTGCTCATCAGACTGATATCTTCAAATGCAGTTTTTATTTTTTTGAAAACACTTTTAATGAATGTTGCTTTATAGACATCGTTTTTAAGATTGTGTTATATTTGTATATCTCCAAAATTTTTATTAGTAAAATTATTTTGAGACTTACATCCTGAAAAGGGAGAACATACTTCTATTTTTCTTATTTTCTTTTTTAATATCAAATTAGGCAAACAATATTATGCCACACAAAATTTTTAATGAACTAATTCCCCAAATCTCAGCACGCTTATCCTACAATTATGTACCTGTATTTTACTTTAGACCTTCTCCCTTCTGGATCTAAAGGCAACAGGCAAAGACAAATTCAAAATGCTCCATGACCAAGTATTACTCACTTCATTTTTTACACTAAAATATATACTCCCAGACATAATTTTAGATATATTTGTTATTTTTCCAAGATGCTCATACTTGTTACACAAAAACTATCTCTATGTGCTATAAAATTGGACAGTGTTATAAAGCAATTAGTCAGAAACTATTTGGGAATAAGGACAAAAATAGTAGATTATGAAATGCTCTATTTGCTCCTAGGATACAAAGATCAAATTTTGTTTGTATCTTTCCTTTTGCAAAAATTCTGAAGTAGTATGTTTTTCATTTGTCTTTTTATGATGTTTCTGGAGCTGACAAAAACAGGGAAAATTGCTAAAGTATTTGTGAGTCAAGGAAATTATTTTTTTCTCCTAAAGAATGTACATGTTAACCTAGTGCATATTACAAAAATTCTCAAAGTATCTCCACTCATGGTCAAATAAATGAAAACATATAGGAATGAGTAAACTTTTTTGGATACTTTTATTTTTACAAGCTCATTATATTGTTTTAAATTGTCAAAAAATATAGAAAGAAATGTAACAATGATGGCAATTAGCCTTTCCTAAGATTACAGCTGCACGAAACACAGGCATTGTGCAAGGCTGATAAATATCTTAGTACCCTCTAAAATCAGTATTTTAATGATAAAGAAAAAATAAGTTTCATCCACATTAAAAATTGTGGGAAAAGTAAATTTTCTTTTCTTAAACTAGTCAGTCAAGCCTGTTTATTTAAGAACACATTAAAATGCACTTCTTAGGAGGCAAAGGAAGGCTTTATTAAGCAGAGGTACAGGACAAACTCAGGAACGGAGTTCAGGTGCTCAGAGATACTGGAAATCATTTATTTGCGTCAGGGAGTTGAAATCAATGGAATTTGATAATCGGTATTCTTAAAATAAGACACTGTAATCTAATGAAAAATGGGAGTATTATTTTCACATTCATTGTGATCCTTCATGGTTGATGGTCATTTCCTAATAAACACTAATGCTGTATTTGTAGTTGTTCTCTGAAAATCCAGGCCTGTTGAGATGAACTTTAATCCCTAATAGAACACACAGGTTCCTGCACTTGTCACCTCATCCTGAAACAACTCTCATCTTGCAAAAGCTTTCAAATTAAGAAAGATGTCTTCTGTGATTCCGTGAAGATCTATTAAGTTTCAGGAATAACATAAACCAAGCCAAACAAACAAACAAAAACAAAACACACACACACACACACACACACACACACACACACACACACACACATACACACACACATCAGAAACAAAAGATTTCTTTGCTATGTAGATTAAACAAGATAGTGTCCTGAACAACTTACTTGTGCTGATATGGTCTGACTTGCTGCTTTTAGGTGCTGGCCTCTCACACTGTGTGCCTGACCAGTTGGTAGAACATCTGGAAAGATCCAAACAATGACAATACAGATTAGTGGGTAACAAGACACAAGAGTCTAATGTAGGAACTTTAAATAAAATTATAAAGGAGAGGATCATCACAGATTCATGAACATTCAGAGCTAATCCTGCTAATTTCCTGTGTATTGTCAGTATGTTGAGAGTAACTCCAACTGGACATTGCTTGCTGAAATACTTTTCAGAATTTAGATTCATAGTTATTTGTCTGTTCCAAATTCCACTTCAAATGGCATATTTAACATCAATATTGAAATTATAGTTAAGAATTGGAAATTATTTTAAGAATTAATGAGGTTTATAAAAAAACCACTTAGGAAAATTGAGCTTGCATATCAAGGAAATCCTTCATGAATTAAGATTCCATGTTTTGTTTTCTGATGATTTAAAGTCCAAAGTGGAATTAACTACTAACCAGCAAATAGTCTTTTGTGTCAGTGTTTGAGCAGAAGATTTTTTTTAATTTTCCTACTCAGATTTAGAAATAAAATGCCTTTTTTTAAAGATCATGTCTTCTAGTGTGAAGTCAAGAGAAGCTATCCAAGTTTTTACTGAGAGAAGCACTTTTCTTTTTATAGACATGAGCACGTTATCATGACAAATCTAGTAGGGGATATAAATAATAGATCTGATTAAATTCTATCCTTTAAAATAATCATAACCATATCATTAGGTGATTGAATAAAAATAAATGTTGGTACAGTTATAGCTGTGCTTAAACAATGTCACTGGCTAACACAGATGCTTCTGTGAATCTGACAAAAAAATCCACAGAGAAACAATTTAATTGGCCTCAGTTCTTATTTAAAATGACTGTCAAATACCACTATATCAAGAATAGTTGTAAACAATAAAGGAACAGCTTCCAGAACCATTCCAAGTTGCTTTCTCTGGGCACAGTGGACAAAACTAAATAGCTGCAATTTCAAGTTTTCTGTCAATTCTGTCAGAGCCAATTCAGAGAGCAGAAGCTATTTTCTGAACTAAGCTTCAGTGATACAATGTGCATTATTTGTGATTTTTAGAAAGGCAGTATTGGCTCTCCTGAAACACAGGCAAATACCATAAAATCATCATACTGACAAACTCAAGTCATTAACACAGAACTTTGTTTCATTAAAGGCATATAATAACTTCAGCATAATTGAAAATTATGCTACTTGAATACAGTTATTTGATTAATAATGATAAATTATAAAACTATGAATATGGAGCATGATTTAAATGAAAATTAATACTGTTATTTATATTGTGATTCAGGTCATTCCCCATGCATTAGCCAATTTTTTGAACAGTTATTCATAAAAGACTTACACGTGGCATAATTTTATGTAATTATAATTTATGAGAAACAGTAGTACAGGTAAATCATTAAAACACATAAATAAATTTTTGTCAAAGATTGTGACTCTGACCATATTATTGAAGTGAACTAATGGAAAAAAGAGCACATTTTTACCAAATTACGATAAAATGAATCATGAAAAAAATTACTTTTAAAAATAATGTTTAATCCTCATTTCGCTGAATGGTCTAGAAATAATGTTACAGTTCCTCACAGATTCTAATGTTTGACATAATCCACAGCAGAATTCAAAATCAAATGTTAGGAATATTTTGCAGACATATATTTGTAGTGATTTTGATCACAAAATTCTTTTCTGTGTAATAGTTTTGCATCTGTCAAGTCTTCATAGATTGCCCACTGAGAATGTCTTAAATGCTCTAACTCAAGATTAATAATGATTTCTTAATAATATATTTATATAGCTGGTGTATACAAAGCTAAATGTGTATAATCATACCGAGCTATTATTATACCAAAATGTGCTCTTTCATTACCTCATTGAAAAAAGTAGATTGGCATTCATCTTAGGTAAAAGCACTGACCTGAGATATATTTTATAGTGCTACAAGAGATATGAACCTCTGGAGCTCGTCATTACATTTAAATGCTTCAATGTCAGGAAATGGAACAGGAGCTTTTAATAATAACCCATCGGGTTACATTCTAAGATGGTACCATTTATTTTAAATACTTTGGAAAAGTATGACTTAAGAGTTACTCACAGCAAAGAAGGTAAAGATAGGGTGATTGTTATTACAAACTGGGGATTATTTAAGTAGGACAAATGTATTGTCCTACAGTATGATATAATGTACTAATTTGTCTCTGGCTTATAACCCAATTCTTAAAAGTGTGAACAAAGTCCCTGCCAATGGCAACAATGCTCTTCTCTTAAATTGTGGAAGCACATCTAATTCCTAACTTTTGGAAATATTTTAGTTTTTACATACTGAAAATAACTATCAAGGATGGAACTGGAGAAATAATTTGAACAGTTATATATCTTAATCAGCTAATAACCACCTTGCTATACCTCCTTCTACTACTTACAAAATAATATTTTATGACTAAAGATAAAACATGTTCCACTGTCTTGCATTTGTTCCTGCCTTAAAAAATACTCTCCTTAGAGATACTAAATCAAATAGAAATTATTATTCTCATTGCCTACTTTACAAAATTGCAATTTAAGGCATTTGCTGCTCCACAAGTTTTTCTTCCAGTGGTTGATTTAAGACCAAGTATTTTTATCATCTTTATAAAAATTCATAAATCTTCATACTCTAGACTACAATGATCAAAGCCATTAATGGTGGGACATTTAACAAATGGAATGTGTGCAAAATCATCAAAATTTCCTGTTCATTTTCTCACTGAGTTATCTGCATAATAGTGCTGACCATAATTTCTCTGTCTCTGTTTCTCTGTCTGTCTGTCTTTCTGTCTCTCTCTCTCTTATTCCTCAAGCATAATTCTCAGTCCTTCCTCTGGCTATCTTTAAGTCCGGACTACTGCAATCCACTGCTCACGGTGTTTACCCAGAAACAACTTTCTCAAATTCTCTCGGCATAGTAGCCACAAAGAATCTTGTCTTTTTCTTTAGCAACACAAACATCACAACATTCATTTAAACATTATGCTAAATTTGTTTCTCTTTGCTCTTAAGTATAGAACAATGAAAATCTATTTTATCTTATCACTGTATCTTATTTAAATTTTAAAAACTTTCACCAAATATAACTAAATACTGTTGGATTACAGATAGACAGATAAGTTATTACTGGTCTACTCAAATCATGTATCCTTCATTCTGTTCATCATCATTCGAAAGCAATGTTCCTAGCAGTTTAGTACATCCAATAGCTGCCTCATAAGAAGTATTGGTTTAAGATCCTTTAATTTTTCCCCTTTCTCTTAAGCCATTAACTTGAAAGGGGATAACTTATTGCTACATTTTAAAAAATTATGATATCACCTCCATTATAACTCAATGAATAAAATATTCTTAAATACAGCATATTTTATGGTATTTCTTTATCTTCTAGATAAAAGAGTATTTATCACTGAACTGAAATTTGTTAAAGCTCAGATTCTGCAGTATCAGGTAAGAGTTAACACAAAAAAAGTTAGGATTTTGACCAAGAATTTGAATCTTAGTAAGATAAATCTGATGGAAGTAATTCACAAATCATATTTCAAGAAATATTTGAGTTAAACATCTTACTCCCACAGATGTCATTCTTATATAAATATCATTCTACAGTTGTTTATTCTTTGGTTGAGAATAACAAAGTATGGCTGGTAATTTAGCTCAGCAGCACAAGTACCTGCCAGGAAAGCATAAAGTCATGAGTTCCATCCATAGTACAAAAAAAAAAAAAAAAAAAAAAACCAAGACCTTGCGTATAGAGCATGGGAAGCTGAACACCTATTTTAGCTATTTTTAAACTTAATTCTTGGGGGCTGGGGATTTAGCTCAGTGGCATAAACTTGCAAGCAGGTAGTCGTGAGTTCGATCCCTGGTACCGATGAAAACAAAAAAGACAAAAAAAATTAATTCTTATGTCACTATTACCATGAGACACACTGTTACTTTATCATACTCTTTATGGTTTTTGTAATTATTGTATAGCTATGATTTCTTTGTTTCAGTTATAACTTTCTGTGCCAAAAAGGAACACCTAGTGTAAAAGCAATAGTGCTCTGTCCAATGAGGAAGCACAATAAGTACTTCTAGACTAGCAAAATATTTGGCTTTTATGAGAATCAAATACAATGTTTAAGATGGAATTTATTACACTTAATGGCACAAAGTCTCTGGTCTAAATAATAATAGTTTTGTGATTATTACAAAGATTAAGTTAGATGTAAAATACTGATATGTGTTAAAATTTTAGTTTTTCACAATAACAATGATCAGTTTATAGAAACTATTTCTGTCATTATTTGCACAAACATGATCTAGAGTCACACACTTTGAGGGAATTTTAAGGTAAAACAATGCGATTAATATCTTCTTTCTCTTCTCATCAAATTTAAAGTGTATGGGAGTCTGAACCACAATGAAGTGCAAAGGTGAATGCAGTGAATGCAAGCAATTTGAAATTGAATTTGTCCTCTTATATATGTGTGCAGGGCAGACAGTGATGATGGAAATATCTAGAAAGAAAAATCTTTTACTACACTGCTTTTTATTTTTATACACAGGGAAAAACATTGGTGAAATGGGTGAAGCAAGTCTTGAAATGCAAGGCAACTGTCATGCATGACTGAGTGCTCCCACAGCTCATTTGATAAAAATTACAAATAAAAATGCATGTTATGCATCATCATGTAGGCAAAACCATTCTCATGCAGTAATGATAGAGAAAAACAGGTCACTTGAGAAATATTTTCATGAATTCTGCAAATTTTATTCTTTTGATTTTCAGAACATGACTGTATTTATGTGATGCACCTGAGTGAGAAGCTTGACCCTCTGTGTGGTTTCCAGCATTTTATTCCTTCTCTTCTAGTTATACCAGCATGAAAATGGAAAAGTGTTCCTTGTATTTGGGGACAATATTTAGATATTTATAAAAATGTTGTATTTTATTTTAAAACATTTTCATTTTTTATCTTACAACATCTCCAGA